TACAGGTACACGCCACCACACCCAGCTAATTTTTGTATTTTTAGTAGAGACAAGGTTTCACCATGCTGGCCAGGCTGGTCTGGAATTCCTGACCTCAGGTGACCCGTCCACCTTAGCCTTCCAGAGTACTGGGATTACAGACGTGAGCCATCGCGCCTCTAAGCTTGCCTAGCTTCTTTATGAATGCTGGATATTACACCTTTGTCAGGAATATAGTTTGTGAATATTGTTGTTTATTTGATATGTTGCCTACTCTGTTGATAGTTTCCTGTGCTGTGAAGAAGCTCTTTAGTTTAATTAGGTCTCATTTGTCAATTTTTGCTTTTGTTGCAATTGCTTTTGGTATCTTCCTCATAAAGTCTTTGCTCGTTCCTATGCCTGGAATGGTATTTTCTTGGTTGTTTACCTTCCAGGGTTTTAAAATTAATTTTAAGTTTTGCATTTAAGTCTTTTTCTTCATTTGATATGTATGTATGTGTATATATATATATGTGTGTGTGTATATATAGAGAGAGAGGGGAAGGTGACCAGTTTCAATCTTCTACATAGTGCTAGCTAGTTATTTCAGCACATTTATTAAATAGGGAATTCTCCCCACATTCTTCTTATCAGCTTTGTCAAAGAGCAGATAATTGGAGGTGTGTGGCATTATTTCTGGGCTCTCTATTCTCTGCTCATAGACTATTTGTCTATGGGTCTGTTTTTGTAGCAGTACCATGCTGATTTGATTACTGTAGCCTTGTACTTAGTGTAGTTTGAAATGGGGTAATGTAATGCCTCCAGCTTTGTTCTTTTTGTTTAAAATTGCCTTGGGTATTCAGGCTCATTTTGGTTCCATATAAATTTTAGGGCCGGGCGCAGTGGCTCAAGCCTGTAATCCCAGCACTTTGGGAGGCTGAGGTGGGTGGATCACGAGAGATCGAGACCATCCTGGTCAACATGGTGAAACCCCATCTCTACTAAAAACACAAAAAATTAGCTGGGCATGGTGGTGCATGCCTGTAATCCCAGCTACTCAGGAGGCTGAGGCAGGAGAATTGCCTGAAGCCAGGAGGCGGAGGTTGCGGCGAGCCGAGATCGCGCCATTGCACTCCAGCCTGGGTAACAAGAGTGAAACTCTGTCTCAAAAAAAAAAAAAAAAAAAAAAAAACAACCCAAATTTTAAAATAGTTATTTTTTGGTTTTGCTAACACTGTTTTTGGAAGTTTCATAGGAATAGCATTGAATTGGTAAAGGTCTTTGGGCAGTTTGGCCATTTTAATAATATTGATCTTCTCTATTTGTGAGCATAAATTGTTTTTTTTCCATCTGTTTGTATCATCTCTAATTTTTTTTTTTTTTTTTTAATGAGATGAAGTCTCACTCTCACCCAGGCTGGAGTGCAGTGGTGTGATATCAACTCACTGCAACCTCTGCCTCCTGGGTTCAAATGATTCTCCCTCAGCCTCCAGAGTAGCTGGGACTATAGGCGCATGCCACCATGCCCAGCTAATTTTTGTATTTTTAGTAGAGACGGATTTTCTTCATGTCAGCCAGAATGGTCTTGATCTCCTGACCTTGTTATTGGCCTATTCCGGGATTCTCTTTTTCATCTGTCCGCCTCAGTCTCTCAAAGTGCTGGGATTACAGGAGTGAGCCACCGCACCCGGCCATTTCTGGCTTCTTTATGCAGTGTTTGTTATTCTTCTTATAGAGATCTTTCACCTCCCTGGTTAACTGTATTTCTGTTCTATATTTTTTGTGGTAACTGTAAATAGGATTCTGTTTTTTTTTTTTTTTTTGAGACAGAGTTTTGCTCTTGTTACCCAGACTGGAGTGCAATGACGTGATCTCGGCTCACTGCAACCTCTGCCTCCTGGGTTCACGCAATTCTCCTGCCTCAGCCCCGAGTAGCTGGGATTACAGGTGCGTGCCACCATGCCCAGCCAATTTTTTTGTATTTTTAGTAGAGATGGGGTTTCACCATGTTGACCAGGATGGTCTCGATCTCTTGACCTCGTGATCCACCCGCCTCGGCCTCCCAAAGTGCTGGGATTACAGGCATGAGCCACCGCACACGGCCTGGAATAGAGTATTTTTTTGTCCTTCCTCTTACCCAAAAGCTAATGAATCAGGATAGGTGATCCAGCTTCTGGAGCTTCACCAGGGCAGTTCCATTTTCTATTTAGAGTCAGCCTGAGTCTCTCCAGCCTGGGTTATCTTTGGGCCATCAGTCCCAGGTCACTAAGAACCCTCTCACAATCACCTAGGCATCTTTAAGACACTTGAGAGGATGTCCAGGGCAGAACTGTGTCAGGCTGACAAGAATGATTAACCCTGCTTCTTTCTCGGTATAAGACAAAGAAGTAATCCTGTCTTTTTTTCCCCCTTATACAAAAGATAACTTTAGTTGTTACCAAGATGAGTTTCTCCAGTTTCTTGGTTCTTGGGTGAAAGACGAAAAGGAGGTCTGGTGACTCAAACAGATAAACTAATCGCTTCCATTTCATATGGCCATTCAAGACAGGTGAAGCAGTCATGGTCCCTGCCGTCCAGGATGTATGGTTGAATTAAGCATCATATTGTTGGTACAATGAATAGATGTAAAATGCAAAAAAAAAAAACCTCCAGCTTTATTTGGGCTACTTTTTTAATACTTTGGTGACTTCTGATGTCATCACCTGAAGGGATATTTATGGACAGGAGAATTGTTATTATTATTTGTGTTTCTTTTACCTTGCTAAGGATGCATATGTTTCATCCAATAAAATGATCTTAGACAACTTTAAGAGATTTGTTTAAATTGCTTATTATTATATGTTATAAAGTTGACAGGGAAGTGGCAAAAATAGATTAAAGGTTTAGATCAAGGCCACAAAGTATTCAGAGCCCTGACCATAACTATACCTACCTGTAATATATGATGCTGGAATAGCCTATCATATTTTACATAAACTCTGGAATTTTAGTTTCTCTTAGGTAAGCTTAGGAAAAACAGAACTGGAAATACCCCAGTGCCATAGAGAGCAGAATTCTATATAGGGTTCACTGCCTAACCGGGGTCTGTTCAGATTCACCCTTTTTAGAATTTTTTTGAGATGGAGTCTTGCTCTTGTTGCCCAGACTGGAGTGCGGTGGCATAATCTTGGCTCACTACAACCTTCGCCTCCTTTCTACAACCTTCGCCTCCTGGATGCAAGCAATTCTCCTGCCTCAACCTCCCAAGTAACTGGGATTATAGGTGCCTGCCACCACACCTGGCTAATTTTTGTATTTTTAGTAGAGGTAGCGTTTTACCATGTTGGTCAGGCAGGTTTCCAACTCCTGACCACAGGTGACCGCACTTCAGCCTCCCAAAGTGCTGGGATTACAACATGAGCCACCGCACCCAGCCAGACTCATCCTTTTTGGAGGACTTTTTTAGGTCTGACCCCACCCTAGAGTCTCGCCTCACAAAACTGATTTAAAAAGATAAGAATTTTGGCTGGTGAATCCTGCTGCCTTTCTACAACTGGTGCTCACAATGTTCAGAAACCTAAAAGCAGGTAAATGAGAAAAATAAACTATGTATTTTAGGATCTTAATTTAAAAATTTTTTTTTAATTTTAAAATTTGTAGTAAAAGCAGTGCTTACAGAAACTGTACATATAGCAACTTGTTTTCTATTCCTGCAGATCCAGTAGCGGCTCCACATGTAACAAAAAAGTAAATATAAACATAGTAATATATATATATTTTTTGAACGGAGTTTCACTCTTGTTGCCCAGGCTGGAGTGCAATGGCGCATTCTTGGCTCACCGCAACCTCCACCTCCTGGGTGCAAGCGATTCTCCTGTCTCAGCCTCCCGGGTAGCTGGGACTACAGGCATGCGACACCATGCCCAGCTAATTTTTGTATTTTTAGTAGAGACGGGGTTTCATCTTGTTGACCAGGATGGTCTCAATCTCTTGACCTCGTGATCCACCTGCCTTGGCCTCCCAAAGTGCTGGGATTACAGGCTTGAGCCACCGCACCCGGCCAGAATAGCATTTACTATCCAGAAAGTTCTGAAAAAAAAATTATTAGGAGAACCTGCTGTCTGGGGTCTAAAGAAAGACTGCCTAAAATCACTATTAAAAATAACAGAACATGGGAGACATCTGTATCTTGAATTTTGCATAAAACTGATTTCTCTTTATGGTTAAATTCAGACTATAATTTACTTTTTGAGGGGCCATATCTCAGCAGTGATGCCGTGTTCTATGTACATCAGCACATCCTAAAAATGTGTTCTAGTGTGATTGACGTGAATGATTTACTTGGTTGCAGAGCTCTCTGACTTGAGTTAATTATTTTTCTCTTCATTATTAAGTATTTTTATGCAGCTAATGTGCATAAACCATTACAATTAATGTGGCACCTGCCCTTTTTTCTTAGGTTTTCTCTGCATATATCTGTGTTTGGAAAATGAAGGCTCTTATCTTTGTTTACAGGCCAGAAAAAAATTGGTAAAACATAGGCTCTTCCGTTTACTGGACGTTTGACAAAGTAGTTTTCTTAGGCCAAAAACAGTGGCATTACTAGTGAGCTTGTTAGAAATTCAGAAGTTCAGACTTTATTCTGGATCTTCTGAACAAAAGAAATCTACACAAAGGATCCCCAGTTTCTTGTTCACATTTAAAGTTGAGAGCTACCTTCTAACTCAACTGTCTATTTTCATCTGAAAAATATACAGAACTCAAACTTTATGATGTAAATATAGCCCTCAAGAGTATACATATTTTTGTTTATGCCCTTAATTTTATACTTTATCATCCAGAGAAGTATCATATATACACCAGGGTTGTGGATTTTATGCCATCCTCTTCTCTCAGAGTTAAACATGAGATAATACTTGTGTTAAAAATTATTGGATAATTTCAGTGATTTCTACAAGTCAAAACCAATTCTCTTTACTTTCTCATCTCACTTTAATTCAAATAATAAATTCTGCCCGTGGCTACTTGGTAAATATATGTGTCTGTGTGCTTGTGTTTTTCAGGGGCCGTTGACATTTAGGGATGTGGCCATCGAATTCTCTCTAGAGGAGTGGCAATGCCTGGACACTGCTCAGCAGGATTTGTATAGAAAAGTGATGTTAGAGAACTACAGAAACCTGGCCTTCTTAGGTGAGAATAACTTTAATATACAATTCCTCATATACCCTAAGGGTTTTATTTCTCTATTTTTATAGAATAATTTTTGGTAATTTATGCTTTGCATAAATGAGTTTCTGATTCCTGTTTTGTTTTTGAGTCGGAGTTTCGCTGTTGTTACCCAGGCTGGAGTGCAATGGCACGATCTCGGCTGACCGCAACCTCCGCCTCTTGGGTTCAAGCAATTCTCCTGCCTCAGCCTCCTGAGTAGCTGGGACTACAGGCGTGCACCACCATGCCCAGCTAATTTTTGTATTTTAGTAGAGACGGGGTTTCACCTTGTTGACCAGGATGGTCTCGGTCTCTTGACCTCATGATTATAGGCGTGAGCCACCGCACCCAGCCTCTGATTCCTGTTTTTAAAAAAATTCTGAGGATTTGTCCATGTCGAAAAGAATTTATTCAAAATGTTTTATCTTTACTTAAACTTTCCTCATGCCTGGGCTGATTTGTATCCTTTACTCTAGATCAGTGGCATAAAACATTGTTTCCCATATCCTTTTTTTGGATACAAAGTCTTGCTCTGTTTCCAGGCTAGACTGCAATGGTGCAATCTCAGCTCACTGCAACCTCGGCCTCCCAGGTTCAAGCAATTCTCTGCCTCAGCCTTCTGAGTAGCTGTGATTACAGGTGCCCGCCACCACTTCCAGCTAATTTTTCTATTTTTAGTAGAGAGGAGATTTCACCATGCTGGCCAGGCTGGTCTCGAACCCTGGACCTTAAGTGATTCACCTGCCGCCCAAAGTGCTGGGATTACAGGCGTGAGTCATCCTGGCTGCCCATATCTTAAAATCTATTTACCACCGGGCACAGTGGCTCACGCCCATGATCCCAGCACATTGGAAGGCTGAGGCGGGTGGATCACGAGGTCAGGAGATCGAGACCATCCTGGTCAACAAGGTGAAACCCCGTCTCTACTAAAAATACAAAAATTAGCTGGGCATGGTGGTGCGCGCCTGTAGTCCCAGCTACTCAGGAGGCTGAGGTAGGAGAATTACCTGAACCCAGGAGGCGAAGGTTGAGGTGAGCCGAGATCGTGCCATTGCACTCCAGTCTGGGTAACAAGAGCGAAACTCCATCTCATTAAAAAAAAAAAAAAAAATCTATTTACCACTACCAGTTTTTGATTAATGAATACCGGGTATTCATTAATCAAACATTTAAGTGAAATTAAGAACCTATAAATTTGAAATATTCTCAAAGTGCTTTGAAATTTCTGTTATAAATTTGTATTTTAGGATTCATATTCTAGAATATACTGTGTCCTCTTTAGTAAGCACAGTACCAGCTTGGTAACTAAAGAATATGAAAAATATTCATGTGTGTGTATTTTTTTTTTTTTTTTTAAATTTTTAATAAAGCAGGTATTGCTGTCTCTAAGCCAGACCTGATCACCTGTCTGGAGCAAGGAAAAGAGCCCTGGAATATGAAGAGACTTGAGATGGTAGATGAACCCCCAGGTAGGTGAAAGTGAATACAACAGACGACAGCAAAAAGAAAGCCAGTGCTGAAAATGTGACTTGGGACGCTGTGTTCCAAAGCAAATATTTTCTGGAAAGCTTGAGTTTTTTAAAGTTTACTCTCACATAGGGGCATCTTCTGTCTATGCTTTTAAATTCTTTAAGGATTTGACTTTTCCTTTGGTGATCTCCCTTCAAGTTTTTTGTCAGAACCAAAGTCCTCTTCATGGCATATGAGACTGCACAATCTAGCTGCTTTTCCATTGTTTTGGGGGACACACAAATATCTGCATGATTTTGAGAAACTCTATGTTAAACTTTTTTTTTTCTTTTGAGACTGAATTTTGCTTTTTTGCCCCAGCTAGAATGCAATGGCACAATCTCAGCTCACTGCAACCTCTGCTCCCAGGTTTAAGTAATTCTCTTGCCTTAGCCACCCCAAGTAGCTGAGATTTCAGGCACCTGCTACCACGCCCAGCTAATGTTTTGTATTTTTAATAGAGCTGGGGTTTCACCATGTTTGTTGGCCAGGCTAGTCTCAAACTCCTGACCACAAGTCATCTGCCTGCCTTGTCCTCCCAATGCTGGGATTACAGGCGTGAACCACCGTGCCCACCCGAACTGTTTTCTTAGTTCTCTTTTTACATCATGTCTGAAATATGAAAGGGTACTGGTTTCTATTCCATTGTGTTTTTTTGTTTTGTTTTTGTTGGTGTTTTTCTGCACATTCCATCCTGTTTTTATTAATATGTTCTTGAAATATAGTTTGAAATTATAAAGTATAATGTCTCTCTACTTTGTTTTTTCCTCAAGATTGCTTTGGCTATTTGAAGTTTATTGTTGTTTCTTGTAAATTTTAGAGTTGTATTTTTCATTACTGTGAAGAAAAATGCCACTGAAATTTTGAAAGGAAATTTAGTGACTCTATATTGGTATTACAGGTGTAACCCACTGTGTCCAGCCAAAGCCTATAGCACCTTGTATTCCCAGGTGGTCTCTTATCCAAGTTTCTTTTTTTTTTTTTTTTTTTGAGACGGAGTTTCACTCGTTAGCCAGGCTGGAGTGCAAAGGCACGATCTCAGCTCACTGCAACCTCCGCCTTCTGGGTTCAAGCAATTCTCCTGCCTCAGCCTCCCTAGTAGCTGGGACTACAGGCACGCACCACCATGCTCAGCTAATTTTTGTATTTTTAGTAGAGACGGGGTTTCACCTCGTTGACCAGGATGGTCTCGATCTCTTGACCTCGTGATCCACCCGCCTCGGCCTCCCAAAGTACTGGGATTATAGGCATGAGCCACCGCGCACCTGGCCTACTTATCCAAGTTTCATCAAGGCTGGACCGTACTTAGCTTCTGAGGTCAGGCATGGTCAGAAGGGTGTGGCCCCAGATACCAGCCTCTGATTTAATTGTATTATTTGGCTAGAAGTCATTCAGGGGCAGGTTGCTCAATTTCCATGTAGCTGTGTGGTTTTGAGTGAGTTTCTTACTCTTGATTTTTTTTCTTTTTTCTTTTTTGAGATGAGAGTCTTACTCTGCCACCCAGGCTGGAGGACAGTAGCATGATCTTGGCCCACTGCTACTTCTGCCTCCTGGCTTCAGGTGATTCTTGTGCCTCAGTCTTCTGAGTAGGTAGGCCTACAGGCTTGTGCCATCCTGCTCAGCTAATTTTTTGTATTTTTGGTAGACATGGGGCTTCCCCATGTTGGCCAGGCTGATCCCAACCTCCTGATCTCACCCGATCCACACCCTTCAGCTTCTTTAAAGTGCTGGGATTACAGGTATGAGCCATTGTGCATGGTGAGTTTCTTACTCTTGAGTTTTAATTTGATTTCACTGCAGTCTGAGAGACTGTTCGTTATGATTTCAGTTCTTTTGCGTTTGTGAGAAGGGTTTTCCTTCCAATTATGTCATCAATTTTAGAGTAAGTGCCATGTGGAACTTAGAATAATGTGTATTGTGGTGTTTGTGGCTGGACAGTTCTGTAGATATGTCAGGTCCACTTGACCCACAGCTGAGTTCAGGTTCTGAATATTCTTGTTCCTTTTCTGTCTCATTGATCTCTTTAATATTAACAATGAGGTGTTAAAGTCGCTCACTGTTACTATGCGGGAGTCTAGTCTCCTTGTAGGTCTCTAAGAATGAGTTTTATGAATCTGGGTGCTCCTTGAATTGATCTTACCTTATGTAATGTGCTTGTCTTTTTTCAATCTTTGTTGGTTTCAAGTTTGTCAGAAACTATGATTGTAAGCCTTGCTTTTTTCTGCTTCTATTTCCTTTGTAAATTTTCCTCCATGTTTTTACTTTGAGCCTACATTTTTCCTGTGAAATGGGTCGTGACTCTTCATTCAGTGGAGGCATTTAGCCTATTGTAATTAAGGCTAATGTTACTTTGAGGCTGTCCAAGTGATGCTAGCTGCTTATTTTATGTAATTGTTGATGTGGCTGTTTTATACCATCATTGATCTTTGTACTTCAGTGTGTTTTTTGTACCAGCAAAGGCTGGTAATGGTTTTTTCTTCCCATATTTAGTGCTTCTTTCAGGAGCCCTAGCAAGGCATACCTGGTGGTAATGTATTCTTTCAGCATTTGCTTGTCTAAAAAGAATTTTTTCTTCACTTGTGAAGACTTAGAAATTAAAAAAAAAAAAAAAAAAAAACAGAGTCCCACTCAGTCACCAGGCACCAGGCTGGCGTGCAGTAGCAAGAGCTCGGCTCACTGCAACCTCCGCCTCCCGGATTCAAGCAATTCTCCTGCCTCAGCATCCCAAGTAGCTGGGACTACAGGCACGTGCCACCACGACCAGCTAAAATTTTTTTTGTATTTTTAATAGAGACGGGGTTCCACCCTGTTGGCCAGGATGGTCTCGATCTCTTGACCTCATGATTCACCCGCCTTGGTTTCCCAAAGTGCTGAGATTACAGGCATGAGCCACCACGCCTGGCCAAAGAGTTAGAAATTTTTTATTTGCTTCTTGTATCTTTGTTCCTCATTTTCTATTTTTTTGTATTTGTGTCTTTTTTATACTTATCTTGATATGCTTTTATTTTTTTATCTGCATAGATTAATATTCTTTTTTTTTTTTTTTTTTTTTTTGAGACGGAGTCTCCCTCTTGTTACCCAGGCTGGAGTGCAATGGCACGATCTCGGCTCACCGCAACCTCCGCCTCCTGGGTTCAGGCAACTCTCCTGCCTCAGCCTCCTGAGATATATATTCTTGATGATACCTTGGGGATTATATAAAACCTCTAAAAGATACAACAACGTATTTTAATCTGGTAAAAAATGAACTTCAGTTGCATTCAAAAATTTTTTCTCCTTGTATCTGCCCTCAAATTTGTCATTGATGTTGCTAATTATATGTTATATATTCACTAACAAATGCTTATAATGATTTCTCTGCTTTTACTTTTCAAATTTTAGAGGACTTTTTTTTCTTTTTTGAGACAGAATCCCACTCTGTTGCCTAGGCTGGAGTGTAATGGCTTGATCTCAACTCACTGCAACCTCAGACTCCTGGGTTCAAGCAATATCTTTCAAATTTTAGAAATGTTTTTTGCATCATTACTGCAATGCTAAGACATTTTATTTTTGTGTATGTACATTTCTTTCCCAGAAGATAACATATTTTATATAATTATGTGTTATTTTGTTGAATCATGTTATTTTTAGTAGAAGCAACTGCATTAAGCACCTTTTATATTTAGAGCATATGAAGTGCCATTAGACTGTTTCAGAATTTGGTTATTTTTCAATGTTTTTTTCTGTTTGTTTGGCAGGACAGATATGCTGGTAACATTATTCTCACTTGATAGCTGGGTTTTGTAGGACTTTGACTGTATCACACAATTTCCTTCCGGCCTGCAAAGCTTTTGTTGACAGTTCACCAGCTACCTCATATGACTGTGCTTGTAAATGATACATTATTTTTATCTTGCATCCCCATTATCTTCTTGTGACTTTTGAAATTGTGTTTATATACGTATTAGTCATAAATGTCTTTGTGTGTGCTCCTAGTTTGTTGAGCTTCTTCATTTTGACATTATTTTTTCTTTCAGAATTTTTAAATTATATATATATTTTTTTACCTTTACAATTTCTTTTTGGATATTTTAAATATTTTGTTCTTATCCTCGTTTTCTTTGTATTTTTTTTATTTAAAAAATTTAAAATTCATGGCCGGGTGTGGTGGCTCACGCCTGTAATCCCAGCACTTTGGGAGGCTGAGGCGGGTGGGTCACCTGAGATCAGGAATTCGTGACCAGTCTGACCAATATGGTGAAACCCCGTCTTTAAAAAAAAAAAATTTTTTTAAATTCATTAAATTTTGCTGAACTTTGACCCGTGACCTATTTTTTTATACTACTGTGTGTTCCTATTTTACTCATTGAGTATTCAATGTATTTCCAATTGTTAATATTAATGTATACATGTTTTTTATGGTTTCTTTCTGAAAATTATACAATATTTTTGATGGAACAATTTTGCCCTGTTTTGTATTCATTGTAATCTATGATTAAGATTTGGACAGTAATGAAAGCTCCCTGTCACAACCTTTATGATGTAGCTTTGTCCTGGCACAGTCTGAAAACAGTTATCTTGGTCAGAGATCCTGGGACACTCTCACACATGTTCTTTGAATGTATCTGGTCTAAAATTTTGTGTGTATTTTTTAGTTAAAAGAGTTGATTTCTGCTTCATCAGTAATCATTTGTGACATCTGTTTTGTCTGTTGTAACATTTACTTTTGGTCTCAGTAGATTCAAACTGTCATTCCAAAATACACCATCATTTCTTCCAGCACTTTATATAATGGGAGACCAGTTTCTGGAAAGGCCCCTAAAAGCAAGTAATACAGATGGATGTGTCAGTATTTTACCTGTTTATTAAAAAAGAAACCAAAAGTTAGGAATTTACTTTGAAAGGCACTATGTTATATTGGTGAGCAGGAAGAATTGTGTTGGGTAAATATAACAGACTTTTCATTTTCTTCTGTGTCTTTCCATTGTACTCACCTGGGGAACTTCACACACTTAGAAGTTTTTCTCAAATGTATTTTGGTCAGTATATTTTTATTACATTAATATGTCTATGAAGGATTTAGGGCCTGTGGTATTTTATTATGGCATCTTATTTAATTTGTATAATATAGGTTAGATTTGTAAAGTGTGTTTAACTCTAGTAAGTTGAATAATTTGTTTTATTTATTTATTTTAGTTACGTGTTCCTATTTTGTTAAAGACCTTTGGCCAGAGCAAGACATAAAAGATTCTTTTCAAGAAGTGATACTGAGAAGATACAGAAAATGTGGACCTGAGAATTTACAGTTAAGAAAAGGCTCTGCAAGTGTGGATGAGTGTAATCTGTACAAAGAAGGTTATAATGAAGTTAGCCAGTGTTTGACAGCTACCCAGACTGAAATAGTTCAAGGTGATAAATATATGAAAGTCTTTCTTAGACGTTTAAATTCAAATAGACATAAGACAAGATGTACTGGAAAGAAAACTTTCAAATATAAAAAACGTGACGAATCATTTTGCATGCATTTGTACCTAAGTCAAAATAAAAGAATTCATATTAGAGAGAATTCTTACCAATGTGAAGAATGTGGCAAAGTCTTTAAGCGGTCCTCACACCTTTCTAGACACATGAGAATCCATACTGGAGAGAAACCTTTCAAATGTGAAGAATGTGGCAAAGTCTTTATGCGGTTCTCAGCCCTGTCTACACACACGAGAATCCATACTGGAGAGAAACCTTTCAAATGTGAAGAATGTGGCAAAGCTTTTAAGCACTCCTCAACTCTTAGTACACATAGGATGACTCATACTGGAGAGAAACCCTACAGATGTGAAGAATGTGGCAAAGCCTTCAACACATCCTCACACCTTACTGCACATAAGATAATTCATACTGGAGAGAAACCCTACAAATGTGAAGAATGTGGCAAAGCGTTTAACCATTCTTCATCTCTTACTACACATAAGTTCATTCATGCTGGAGAGAAACCCTACAAATGTGAAGAATGTGGCAAAGCTTTTTATCGATTCTCATTCCTTACTAAACATAAGATAATTCACACTGGAGAGAAATTTTACAAATGTGAAGAATGTGGCAAAGGCTTTTACTGGTTTTCAACCCTTACTAAACATAAGAAAATTCATACTGGAGAGAAACCCTACAAATGTGAAGAATGTGGCAAAGCCTTTAATGTGTCTTCAAACCTTACTACACATAAGATGATTCATACTGGAGAGAAACCCTACAAATGTGAAGAATGTGGCAAGGGCTTTAACTACTCCTCAAAACTTATTAAACATAAGATGATTCATACTGGAGAGAAACCTTACAAATGTGAAGAATGTGGCAAAGCCTTTAACCAATCCTCAAACCTTACTACACATAAGGTAATTCATACTGGAGAGAAATCTTATAAATGTGAGGAATGTGGCAAAGCTTTTACCCATTCCTCACACCTTACTTCGCATAGGAGAATTCACACTGGAGAGAAACCCTACAAATGTGAAGAATGTGGCAAAGCTTTTAACCAATCCTCAAATCTTAGTAAACATAAAATAATTCATATTGGATAGAAGTCTTACAAATCTGAAGAATGTGATAAAGCCTTTAACCAAACTGCAACTCTTACTAAGCATAGGAAAAATTATCCTTGAAGGAAACCCTACAACTGTGAAGAATGTGGAAGTTCTCTCAAGCAGTCCTCATAATTTATTAAACAAAATAACTCATACTGGAGAGAAACTGTACAAATATAAGAATGGCCTCAACTCTTAAAAAGCATTGAAAAAAATTCATCCTATATGGAAATCCTATGAGTGTGAAAAACATAGCAAAGCCTTTAACAACACATAACCGCTGCTCCAGGGGAGGGTCCCCATGCCAATGCACAACTAGATTTTGATCCCCAGGCCTATGTTCAAGTGTCTTTGTGGGCTGTCAGGGCTTGGGACCAAATTCCCAAAAGCAGAGTTCAACAGGGATCTTTTATAAATGTTCAACAAGGGCCTCAGGAGCCATTTGCTGAGTTTATCAATCAGTTAACCCAGGCAATTAAGAGAGAAATTTGTCACAGCCAGGCTGCTATCTTATTGTTGCAATTGACTTTGGAAATGCTAATGTGGACTGCGGGCAAGCAATGCAAGCAGAGGAAAGGGAGTTACAGTTGGGAAACTTACATGAGCATGTCAGCTGACGGGAACTGAGACACACAAAGCCAAAATATTGGCTATGGCATTAGGCCTCCTAAAGTGAAAGAAATCAAAATGATTTTCTCTGTGGAAAGCCAGATCATATGAAAAGGAAATGCCTCCATAGTAGAGACCAAGGTAACTCAGGGAAAGAACCCCCTTCTGTATGCCCCTAACATAAAAAGGGGACACAGTGGGCAAATCCATGCAGGTCGAAATTTGGCAAAAACGGAAACCATGTAAGTAACCAGGTGGGAACCTTCATGAGGGACCATCCCTGGGCCCCACTTCAAACTGGGGCAATGTCAGCAGCTTTCCTTGGTTAGATGGAAACTCCACAGTCCTCTCTCTCAGAGCAGTCACCACTGGGAGTGCAGGACTGGACTTACTCTGCCCCAACAAATAAGTGCTAAAAGAAGAAGACCCTAAAAGGGTTGCAACTGGGATGTGGGGCCCCTCGCCTCTGGGAACAGTGGGAGTAGTCCTGTGGTGGTCTAGCCTATCCAGTGAAGAATTTAATGTGCTCACTGGAGAATGGATAGTGATTACCAAGGTGAGATATGGTTACGATGGAATGTAAAGGTCTGCATATTCTCTCTGGACCAAAGGTAGCTCAGTTACTATTTTACCATACTGGGTTTCCAGTGCCCATGGAAAGCAAAAGGGAAAGGGAAGTTTTAAAAGCACAGGAGCCACAGGAGTATATTAGAATAAATCATTGATCAGAGACCCATAATTACCTTAAAAATCAAAGATAAATTTACTGTCTTATTGGACATGGGCAGACATTTCAATCGGCGATCAAAGCTGTGCAGAAACTTGGCCCTGGGTCACTCAGAAACAAAAAATTGTTGGCATTGGGGATGTGCAGACAGCCGAGCAGAGCACCTGCCCCCTACCTGCTGTGATTCAGAAGGAAACAAGGCAGTTACACAACCTCTAATCATGCCCATTCCTGTTAACCTTTGGGAACAAGGCCTATTACCCACTATGGGTGACTCTGCAGACCCCTTTCTAACAAGACACTGTTACTGTTCCTCCCCTAGCTCGGATCCAATTTAAGCAGAACGGTGGCCTCTGAAGGGAGAGAAATTGCAGAAGGCCCATGAATTAGTTGATGAGCAATCAAAAGCTGGGCATATAGAACCATCTGATATGATAGTCCCTAGAATTCGCCCATTTTTGACATTCCCAAAAAGTCTGGGAAATGGAGACTTTTGCAATGACTTACATGCTGTCAATGCCAATTTGCAACCTATGGGACCCCTTCAGCAGGGGCTTCCTTCCTCTGTGATGATTCCCCAAGATTGGTCTATAATCATACTGACTTAAAGGACTGTGCATACAATTTCCGTAGCAGACCAGGACAGAGAAAAATTTGCATTTACAATACCAGCTATCAGTAATGAAAGGACAGCTTGTTAATTTCATTGGAAAGTACTTTCTCAAAGACTGTTAAACTGCCTTACCATGCGTCAGTATCATGTAAATCAAGCTTTGTTCCCCAGTAGAAAAGAATTTCCTGATTGCAAGGTTATTTATTTCATGGATGATGATCTACTAGCAGCCCTAATGGAGCCAATGCTTTTAAATATATTTACCTCTCTCATAAAGAATACACAGCTAAGAGGCTGAATCATTGCTCCTGAAAAGGTACAAATGTCCTCTCCTTGGAAAATCTTGGGTACATACTAACTTCCTAGTCACTAAGGCCTCAAAAGATTTAAGTTAAATACTAGCAACTTTGCCAGGCTCAGTGGCTCATGTCTGTACTCCCAGCACTTTGGGAGGCTGAGATGGGTGGATCACAAGGTCAAGAGATCGAGACCATCCTGGTCAACATGGTGAAACCCCGTCTCTACTCAAAATACAAAAAAGTAGCTGGGCATGGTGGCGCGTGCCTGTAATCCCAGCTACTCAGGAGGCTGAGGCAGGAGAATTGCCTGAACCCAGGAGGCGGAGGTTGCGGTGAGCCGAGATCGCGCCATTGCACTCCAGCCTGGGTAACGAGCGAAACTCCATCTCAAAAAACAAAAAACAAACAAAAAAAAACTAGCAACTTTAACACCTTAAATGGTTATCAGAAATTACTAGGCAGTATCAACTTGGTCCCCCTCTTTAGGCATTCTTACTTACAAGCTGCAAAACCTGTTTGCTATCTTAAAGGACAATACAGCCCTGAATTCTCCCAAATAACCCCTACAACATAAAGGGAATCGAGGAAATAGAACAAGCTGTCTCTCAAAGGCAGCTAGATTGCACTGAGCTGCAGTATTCAATTGTTTATTTTTCTCATCAAACACTCCCCTACAGGGTTAATAGGATAGATGACCCTAAGACTGCACTTTCTAGAATGGGTTTGTTGCTCACATACTGGGACTAAAACACTTCTCTCTATATCCAGTTACTTAGTGAAGTAATCCATTCAGGCCTCAGATGATGCAATCAGTTGCTAGGTTATGATCCTGATATCAGGATTCCTTTAAGTAAAAAGAAATTCTAAGCAGTACTGCCCTTACCAATGGACTTGCAAATAGCACTCTGATTACACAGGACCAATAGAGCCTGTCTTTCCTGCTGATTAACTCCTTCATTTCTTATCTCATACTCCTGTGGTCTTACCCACAAAAATAGTTTACTCCCCATACCTACTTATTGAACATTGTTTACTGATGGTATGGATAAACATGAAAAAGGAGCAGTTTGGTGGACACCACATAATTCCTTTCCTCGATGTGGGTTTAACAGCACTCAGAAAGCTGAGATTGAGGCACTAATAATGGCTCTGGAAACTGTTTACACTCAGACCCTCAATATTATTAGTGATTCTGCTTACTCTCTATTTACTGCAGAACCCTGAGACAGCCCTAATTAAGACCACTCGGGAGCCTGCCCTTGTGCTCTTTTTCTTCTGCTTCAGCAATTTATAGGTCAACATACACATCCTATTTTTATTACAGACATTTGCGCCCATAACTCACTTCCTGGCCCATTGGTTTATGGCAATAATCAAGCAGACCTTCAAGTTATGACATCACTGCTTGACCAAGCTACCCAATTGCATCAATTTTTCCACCAAAATTGGGTACACTTATCTAAACAATTTCAACTTACCCAGATACTGGATAAAGAAATTTTCCCACAATGCTCGGATTGCCAGCTCACCGGCACGTCACCTCCTTCTACAGGTGTTAACTCTAGAAGATTAGAACCTTATCAGTTATGGCAAACAGATGTTACATCCCTGCATTTGGAAAACAAAGATATGTACATGTATCCATTGACACGAACACTCATTTATAATTAGTGCACACAGCATCCCTGGAGAGGCTACTCAATATGTCATCAGACATCTTTTAACATTTGCATTTATGGGACAGCCCACAAAAATAAAACTGATAATGGTCCAGCTTGCGCCAGCTCACAATTTCAATAATCTTGTCACACATGGAATATTCAACATTTTACAGGCATCCCATATAACCCCCAAGGACAGGCCATAGTAGAATGTGCCCGTTCCACTCTTAAAAATATGCTCAAAAAACAAAAAGGGGAGTATGAGTAAAGGGTCCTGCAACACTATTGGCATTAGCCTTATTTACCCTAAAATTTTTAAATTTAGATGGTAAATTTCAATCAGCTGTAGAAAAGCACTTTGCTAAGCTTGTCAAGACATAAAACCTGCAGTTTTATGGAAAGATGTAAACATTAACATCCAGCATGGTCCAAATGAATTATTAACATGGGGAAGAGAGTATGCTTGTGTTCCCACCTCTTCAGGTCCACTTTGGATTCCAACACAATGCATCAAACCATACCATAGTCTAACTAGGACCCAACCCAGTACCAGAAATAAAGGAACTAACCCTACAGGACACACAGCCAAAGACAATGCGGTGTGCGAGCATTTCTTTTATTGACATCTTTACCAACACTTGCTTTTTAATGAGAGTCATTCTAACAGGAATGAATTATCTTACAGTTTTTGTTTTTGGCTTGCCTGTTTGTGATAATTGACATTGAACATTTTTGTTTTTGTTTTATTGAGATGGAGTTTCGCTATTGTTACCCAGGCTGGAGTGCAATGGCACGATCTCAGTTCACCGCAACCTCCGCCTGCTGGGTTCAGGCAATTCTCCTGCCTCAGCCTTCTGCGTAGCTGGGATTACAGGCACGCACCACCATGCCCAGCTAATTTTTTGTTATTTTTAGTAGAGACGGGGTTTCACCATGTTGACCAGGGTGGTCTTGATCTCTTGACCTCGTGATCCACCCACCTGGGCCTCCCAAAGTGCTGGGATTACAGGCGTGAGCCACCACACCCAGCAAACGTTTTTAAATATATCCGTTGGCTCTATGTTTGTATCTTCTTGAAAAAATACTTATTTCAGCTGTTTGCTTATTTTTAATGATAATTTTCTTTTGTTGTATTGTCATTTGAGTTTTTAATATATTTTTGCTGTTAACCCCTTGTCACATGTATAATTTGCAAATATTGTCTCTCTTGGTTGTCACATTCTGCTGATTGTATCAGATTCTGTGCAGCAGCTTTTTAATTTGAAGTGATTTGACTTATTTATTCTTCCTTACTGTGTCCTGAGATGTTTAGGTTAAATTTTAAAACTTGCTGCTTAGACCAATGTTATGGGGCTTTCACTCTATTTTTTGGTACCAGTAGTTTCAGTTATAGGCCTTACATTAAATTGGCTAATTTATTTAGAGTTTATTTTTACATATGATGTGCGATGAGAGTCTCGCTTTTCTTCTGCTGCATATGGATATAAAGTTTTCTTAACATGATTTATTGAAAATACTGTTCTTACCTTTAAACAGTCACCTTTATTTAAAATCAGTTAGCTGTAAATACATGGATACATTTCTGCTCCTTTCTTCTTCTCCATTGACCTGTCTGTTTTTATTCAAGTACCATACTGTTTTTGTTTCCATAGCTTTGTGCTATATTTCAAAGTCAGGTAGGATGATATCTTCACTTCTTTTGTCTTGATTGCTTTGGCTATGCAAGGTCTTTTGTGGTACCATATGAATCTTACATACACTTTATGAAGTATGTGACTGGTATTCTGATACAGGTTGCATTATATCTGTAGATCATTTTGTGTAATATAAATATTTGTTAATAATGCCACTTCATGAATAATACTTCATTTATATATTATTTAATTTCTATAATGTTCTTCAGAGTAGAATGTAAGGTGTTTCAACTTTTTGATGTAGTTTATTTCAGGGCCAGGCGTGGTGGCTTACGCCTGTAATCCCAGCACTTTGGGAGGCCGAGGCGGGTGGATCACAAGGTCAAGAGATCGAGACCATCCTGGTCGACCAGGTGAAACCCTGTCTCTACTAAAAATACAAAAAATTAGCTGGGCGTGGTGGTGCGCGCCTGTAATCCCAGCAACTCGGGAGGCTGAGGCAGGAGAATTGCCTGAACCCAGGAGGCGGAGGTTGTGGTGAGCCGAGATCGCACCATTGCACTCCAGCCTGGGTAACAAGAGCGAAACTCTCTCAAAAAAAAAAAAAAAGAAAAAAAAAAGTTTATTTCAAATTATAGTTATGGTAGATGGAATTCTTTTTTAATTTCATTTTGAGATAGTTATTTTTTATTTTTATTGTTGAGATGGAATGTCGCTCTGTACCCCAGGCTGGAGTACAGTGGTGCAATCTCAGCTCACTGAAACCTCTGACTCCAAGGTTCAAGCAATTCTCCTGCTTCAGCCTCCCAAGTAGCTGGGACTACAGGCATGTGCCACCACGCCTGGCTAATTTTTGTATTTTTAGTAAGGATGGGGTTTTGTTATGTTGGTCAGTTGACCTCAATCTCTTGACTTTGTGATCTGCCCGCCTCGGCCTCCCAAAGTGCTGGGATTACTAGCATGAGCCACCATACCTGGCCTCATTTTCAGACAGTTATTAATGTATAGAAAAGCTATGACTTTTAGATGGTACTTTTGTAAGGTTTAATAAATTTGTTTTGTTGGTGATGATGATGATGATGAGTTGTTTGAGATGGAGTCTTGGTCTGTCACCCAGGCTGGAGTGCAGTGGCATGATCTTGGTACAGTGCAGCCTCTACCTTTCATGTTCAAAGTATTCTCCTGCCTCCACCTCCCAAGTAGCTGAGACTACAGGTACCCACAACTACTCCAGGCTAATTTCTGTATTTTCGTAGAGACAGGGTTTCACAATGTTGACCAGGCTGGTCTTGAACTGCTGGCCTTGTGATCCACACATCTTAGCTTCCCAAAGTGCGGAGATTACAGACATGAGCCACGATGCTGAGCCTGTTATTTTTAATATTTACTAAGATAGTAGGCTTTTATATACTTTAGATTATGTATAGGGATAAAAGGAAATTATACAGGAATAATTTAACTTCCTTTTCTCCAATCTGGATGCCTTTGATTTTATTCTCTAATCTCTTTCTCTTGGATATTTAGTACTATGTTTAGTAAGACTGACTAGAGTGGGCATCCTTGCCTTGTTCTAGCTCTTAAGAGTAAAAGCTTTCAGCATATCCCTGTTTAGTACGGTGTTGGCATTTTTTGGTTATGTGTGAAATTTATCAGCTGAAATGCATTTGTTCTATACCTAATTTTTCTGGAGATTTATTATAAGGGAATGTTAAAGTTACCAGACTTCTATTGTGGATCGATTTTTTTTTTTTTTTGCACTCTGAATCTATTTAAATGTTAGAGATGTCAAATCACAACTAATTCTACATACATACAAAAAATCATCAGAGAATACTATGAACATCTCTATGCCTGCAATCTAGAAAATTTTGAGAAAGTAAACTAACTCCTAAATACACATAACTTTCCAAGATTGAACCAGGAATAAACAGCAAAAGTGTATAAAATATATCATGTATGGCCGGGTGTGGTGGCTCACGTGTATAATCCAAGCATTTTGGAGGCCAAGGCGGTGGATCACCTGAAGTCGGGAGTTCAAGACCAGCCTGACCAACATGGTGAAACCCTGTCTTTATTTTTTTAAAAAAATAAATTTATAAAATAAATAAATAAAATATATAATGTATAAATATATAATGAAAGTGAATTTATTATTAAAAAACCTACTAACTATAAAAAGTCCTGGATTATATAAAATCACAGCCATATTTTACCAATATAAAAAGATGAGGTGGTACTAATTCTACTGAATGTATTCCAAAAAATCCAGATGGAATTCCACCGTAACTCACTATATAAAATCTGCATTATCTTGACAACAAAGTCTAGTAAAGACAGAACAATAAAAAACTACAGGCCAATATTTTTGGTAAACATTGAAACAAAAATTCTGCCTGCATGAAATACTAGCAAGCTGAGTTGACAGGCAAATCAAAGATTTATTTTGCCACAATCATATGAGGGTTATATATCACATATGCAAGAATGTTTCATCATATACAAGTCATAAGTGTGATTCACCATGTAATTAAAAGCAAAAAATTATATTATTAACAAAATAGATGCAGAAAAAACATTTAAGAAAATCCAGTATTCAGGGCCGGGCACGGTGGCTCAAGCCTGTAATCCCAGCACTTTGGGAGGCTGAGGCGGGTGGATCACGAGGTCAAGAGATCAAGACCATCCTGGTCAACATGGTGAGACACCATCTCTACTAAAAATACAAAAAATTAGCTGGGCATGGTGGTGCGTGCCCGTAATCCCAGTTACTCAGGAGGCTGAGGCGGGAGAACTGCTTGAACCCAGGAGGCGGAGGTTGCAGTGAGCCGGGATCGCGCCATTGCACTCCAGCCTGGGTAACAAGAGTGAAACTCTGTCTCAAAAAAAAAGAAAATCCAGTATTCATAAAAATATTCTCAACAAAGCAGACAGTGATAAAACATACCTCAAAAAAATAAGAGCCATGTATGACAAATCCTTGGCTAACACCATACTGATCAGGCAAAAGCTGCATGCATTTCTCATTAGAATAAAAATAAGACTTTCCACTCTAAACAACCCTATTCAACATAGTTCTGGAAGTTCTAGTCAGAGCAATCTAACAAAATGAAGAAATAAATGTCATCCAAATAGGGAAAGAGGAAGTCAAATTGTCTTCACTTATAATATAATTCTTTATCTAGAAAACTAAAGATTTTACCTAAAGACTGCTAAGCTTAAAAATTACCTTGGCCAGGCGCGGTGGCTCACACCTGTAATCCCAGCACTTTGGGAGGCCGAGGCGGGTGGATCACGAGGTCAAGAAATCGAGACCATCCTGGTCAACACAGTGAAACCCCGTCTCTACTAAAAATACAAAAATTAGCTGGGCATGGTGGCACGCGCCCGTAATCCCAGCTACTCGGGAGGCTGAGGCAGGAGAATTGCTTGAACCCAGGAGGCAGAGGTTGGGTAAGCCGAGATCGCGCCATTGCACTTCAGCCTGGGTAACAAGAGCGAAACTCCGTCTCAAAAAAAAAAAAAAAAAATTACCTCATCGAAGTCTCAAGATACAAAATTCAGTGGCATTCACAAATGAATAGCATTTCCTTACACCAATAACATTTTAGCTGAGAACAAAATCAAGAAGTATTCTTTACAATAGCCATAAACAAAAAACAATATACCTAGAACTAGATTAAACCAGGAAGGTAGGATGGGTGCAGTGGCTCATGCCTGTAGTCTCGGCACTTTGGGAGGCCAAAGCAGGCAGATCATGAGGTCAGGAATCTGAGACCAGCCTGGCCAAACCCTGTGTCTACTAAAAATATCACAAATTAGCCAAGCATGGTGGCACACGCCTGTAGTCCCAGCTACTCAGGAGCTTAAGACAGGAGAATCCGTTAAATCCCAGAGGCAGAGATTGCATTGAGCTAAGACTGTGCCACTGCACTCCAGCCTGGGTAACAGAGTGAGACTGTGTCTCAAAAAAAAACAAAAAACAGGGTGGTAAAATATTGCTACAAATTTAACTACAAAGTATCACTGAAAATAATCAGAGAATTTTTGAGACAGAGTCTCACTCCATTGCCTAGGCTGGAGTGCAGTGTGATCTCAGCTCACTGCAACCTCCACCTACCAGGGTTCAAGTGATTATCTTGCCTCAGCCTCCTGAGTAGCTGGGATTACAGGTGCCCGCCACCCCACCTGGCTAATTTTTGTACTTTTAGTAGACACGGGGTTTTGCTGTGTTTGCTAGGCTGGTCTCGAACTCCTGACCTTAAGTAATCCACCCACCTTAGCCTCCCAAAGGGCTGGAATTATGGACATTAGCCACCATGGCAGGCTCAACCCCATATTATTTCTGGTAACAAAGCATAGCAACATGATTTCTTGAATTTTGCCTGGATCTTAATTCATAAAACAAAGGTGAATGCCATTAAAAGGTGTTTAATACACTTTCACCAGAAACAATAATTGACTGACTTAACCAAAATGCCAGCTCTTGCCATCTAACTACCATTAAAAGGAACTGCTCAGGCTCCTAAGTGGTCAACAGTTTCACTTTCAACCTTTCTAAAAGACACATAACTTGGCCAGGCACGGTAGCTCATGCCTATAATCCCAGCACTTTGGGAGGCCAAAAAGGGCAGATTACGAGGTCAGGAGTTCAAGATCAGCCTGACCAGCATGGTGAAGCCCTTGTCTCTACTAAAAGTATAAAAAAATTAGCTGGGCATAGTGGCATTCATCTTTAGTCCCAGCTACTCAGGAGGCTAAGGCAGAATCACTTGAACCCAGGAGGCAGAGGCTGCAGTGAGCCCAAATCATGTCACTGTACTCCAGCCTGAGTGATAAGAGTGAGACTTTGTCTAAAATGAAAGGAAAAAGAAAAGGCCAGGTGCGGTCGGTGGCTCACACCTGTAATCCCAGCACTTTGGGAGGCCGAGGAGGGTGGATCATGAGGACAGGAGATTGAGACCAGCCTGGCAAATATGGTGAAATCCCGTCTCTACTAAAAATACAAAAAATTAGCTGTAAAAATACCAAAAAAGCAAAACAAAACCAAACAAAAAGGTAAATAATTTTACAAAAAATTTTTCTTTATAAACTTTTGAATAGTTGGGCTTTTACTCATAAGCAACAGACTTATATATATTTTGCAAACTCAAATACAGAACACTTAATTTTTTTTTTTTTTTTTGAGACGGAGTTTTGCTCTTGTTACCCAGACTGGAGTGCAATGGCGCGATCTCGGCTCATCGCAACCTCCACCTCCTGGGTTCAGGCAATTCTCCTGCCTCAGCCTCCTGAGTAGCTGGGATTACAGGCGCGCGCTGCCATGCCCAGCTAATTTTTTGTATTTTTAGTAGAGACGGGGTTTCACCATGTTGAACAGGATGGTCTCAATCTCTTGACCTCGTGATCCACCTGCCTTGGCCTCCCAAAGTGCTGGGATTACAGGCGTGAGCCACCGCGCCCGGCTACTTTCTTTTTTTTTAAAGACAGGGTTTCACCATGTTGGCCAGGCTGGTCTTCAACTCCTGACCTCAGGTGATCCACCTCAGCCTCCCAAAGTGCTGTGATTAGAGGCATGAGCCACCATTCCTGTAATTATTTACTTTCTTAATAAATTTGCTTTCACTTTATGACTTGTCCTGAATTCTTTCTTGGGCAAGATCCAAGAACCCTCTCTTGCGGTCTCGATCGGGACTTTTTTGTGGTAACATTTTCCTGGCAACCACAAAGGGACTATACTGAAGAGATCTTTGACCCCCACCCCCCGAAAAAAATTATCTGTGGATACCAATTGGCTGACTCCGAGTGAGTGGGATGCATATACCTGAGTAAAAGGTGAGATTAGGTTACAGGCACAACTTGGGGAAGTCAGAGTCTCTCCGAAGACATCGTAGGTTAAAGGCTTCTCTTAATACAAGTCAAGGATGTTTGACTGTACCTGGATTCAAGGCCCAACTTAGGAAGGTTATAGTCCTTCCTGAGATTTAGATTACAGACTCCTCTCAGAAAAGTCCATCTATGCTAAGAACTAGTTTCAAACTACACGAAGTTAATTGCTATTCTTTTTGCATTAATCTATCTCGCACTCTTTGCTGGAGGCTATGGGTGACAAAATTAAAAACCTATAGTACCATGAGATAAAAGGAGCTTTTTCCTCTCCAAAAGGGGAAACTTGAGAACTGATGGGACTGCTGGAAAAAAATTATTTTGCTACCAAGAAGCAGGTGCCTGAAATTGTAAAATATATTGCAGTTGTATTCTTTGTGTAGACATGCAGGATAAACTTACTTGATGTTTTCTTTTTTTGAGATTGAGTATTCCTCTGTGATTAAGTCTCCCTCTGTCACCCAGGCTGTAGTGCAGTGGTGTGATCTTGGCTCACTGCAACCTCCACCTCCTGGGTTCAAGCGATTCTCCTGCCTCAGGCTCCCCAATAGCAGGCGTGCACCACCATGCCTAGCTAATTTTGGATTTTTGGTAGAGACAGGGTTTTATCATTTTGGCCAGCCTGGTCAGAACTCATGCCCTGGCTGGAAGTTTTCTTGAACACTTACTAATCTTTGAGATAACTACCCCCCCTCCTTTTTTTTTGAGACGTAGTTTCGCTGTTGTTACCCAGGCTGGAGTGCAATGGCACAATCCCGGCTCACTGCAACCTCCGCCTCCTGGGTTGAAGCAATTCTCCTGCCTCAGCCTCCCAGTAGCTGGGATTACAGGCGCGAACCACCATGCCCAGCTAATTTTTGTATTTTTAGTAGAGACGGGATTTCACCTCGTTGACCAGGATGGTCTCCATCTCTTGACCTCGTGATCCACCCGCCTCGGCCTCCCAAAGTGCTGGGATTATAGGTGTGAGCCACTGCGCCAGGCCTGAGATCACCCCCTTAGTTGGAACTCAGAGTTATGAATGGCCCTCACCATACCGATGACTTCTGAATGAGCTCCTCTCTACCTCAAATACAAAACACCCTGAAAGTTAAGCAAGAATATCATCACCCATATTCAGCATGAAGTAGTTACAGACGATGAATCTTCATCCCTCTACAACCCTTATGATTAAGGATTTATTTGTACATAACGGGGAAAATGTCAGAGGCATACTGAACTAGAGCAAATCCATTTTGAATAGGGGCTGGGGAAATAGGGCTGAGACCTACTAGGGTGCATTCCAGATGGTTAGGCATTCTAAGACACAGGATAAGCCAGGAGATCAGCACAGGATACTGGTCATAAAGACCTACTGACAAAACAGCTTGCAGTAAAGAAGCGGGACAAACCCCAACAAAATCAAGATGGTCATGAGTGTGACCTCTGGCCATCCTCACTGCTACACTCCCACTAGTGCCATGAGAGTTTACAAATGCCACGATAACATCAGGAAGTTAGGCCGGGTGCGGTGGCTCACACCTATAATCCCAGCACTTTGGGAGGCCGAGGCGGGTGGATCACAAGGTCAAGAGATCGAGACCATCCTGGTCAACATGGTGAAACCCCGTCTCTACTAAAAATACAAAAATTAGCTGGGCATGGTGGCACGTGCCTGTAATCCCAGCTACTCAGGAGGCTGAGGCAGGAGAATTGCTTGAACCCAGGAGGCAGAGGTTGCGGTGAGCTGAGATGGCGCCATTGAACTCCAGCCTGGGTAACAAGAGCGAAACTCCATCTCAAAAAAAAAAAAAAAAAAAAAAAAATCAGGAAGTTCTTATATGGTCTAGAATGGGGAGGCATAAATAGTCCACTGCTTGTTTAGCATACAATTAAGAAATAGCCATAAAAATGGGCAACTAGTATCCCTCTGGACTACTCTGCCAATGGAGTAACCAATTCTTTTACTTCTTTCCTTTTTTTGAGATAGTTTTGCTCTTGTTGCCCAGGCCGGAGTACAATGGCATGATCTCCGCCTCCCAGGTTCAAGCAATTTTCTTGCCTCAGCCTTCTGAGTAGCTGGGATTATAGGCATACACCACAACACCCAGCTAATTTTGTATTTTTTTCTTTTAAGTAGAGATGTGGTTTCTCCATGTTGGTCAGGCTAGTTTTTAACTCCTGACCTCAGGTGATCCACTGGTCTCCACCTCCTGAAGTACTGGGGTTACAGGCATGAGCCAGTGCACCCTGCCTATTTCTTCACTTTCTTAATAAACTTGCTTTTATTTTACTCTATGAACTCACCCTGAATTCTTTCTTTCTTTCTTTCTTTTTTTTTTTTTTTTTTGAGACGGAGTTTCACTCGTTACCCAGGCTGGAGTGCAGTGGTGTGATCTTGGCTCACCGCAACCTCCACCTCCTGGGTTCAGGCAATTCTCCTGCCTCAGCCTCCTGAGTAGCTAGGACTAGGCATGCGCCACCATGCCCAGCTAATTTTTTGTATTTTTAGTAGAGACGGGGTTTCACCATGTTGACCAGGATGGTCTCCATTTCTTGACCTCGTGATCCACCCGCCTCAGCCTCCCAAAGTGCTGGCATTACAGGAGTGAGCCACTGTGCCCGGCCCTGAATTCTTTGAGTGAAATCGAAGGACCCTCTCTTGGGGTTTGGATTCATAAAAACTTGGCACATTTTCTTCTTTTTCTCATTAAAAGAGTCAGCTGTATTTGTCTTGAGTGGTCTAAATGAAATTTTTCACAGGCTACTAAACTCTGAGCTACCCTCAATCTGAGCCATTATGCAACTTCATTTTATGTCCCTCCTTCTGAAGTCAGAACATGCTGACTTTAGGGTAAGACATTAATCTGATCTAAAATTTGAATTTTAACCCCCCATTTGCCCTTCCCCTCCATTCTTTCTAATCTTGTAAGCTCCACTCTATGAACAAAAGCCCTAGTCTACCTAAAATTACATTCCTTAGAGTTTTTATAGCCAATTTCCTCCTGTTGCAATATTCTTTTGGAGTTCTTTTTTGTTTTTGGACACAAGGTCTTGCTGTATCATCCAGATTAGAGTACAGTGGCACAATCTCTGTTCACCTCAACCTCTGTCTCCTGAGTTCAAGTATTTCTCATTTCTCAGCCTACTGAGTACATGGCACTACAGGCACCTGACACCATGCCTGACTAATTTTTGTATTTTTAGCAGAGACAGGGTTTTACCATATTGGTCAGGCTGGTCTCAAACTCCTGACCTTGAGTGAGTTGTCCGCCTCAGCCTCCCAAAGTGTGGGGATTATAGATTTCAGCCACCTCGCCTGGCTATGGAATTAAATTTTTTTTTTTGTTTTTTTAAGACAGAGTCTCAGCCAGGCATGGTGGCTCATGCCTATAATCCCAGCACTTTGGGAGGCCAAGGTGGGCAGATCACGAGGTCAAGAAATCGAGACCTTCCTGGCCAACATGGTGAAACCCCGTCTCTACTAAAAAATACAAAATTTAGCTGGGCGTGGTAGCACACACTTGTAGTCCCAGCTACTGGGGAGGCTGAGGCAGGAGAATTACTTGAATCCAGGAGGCAGAGATTGCAGTGAGCCGAGATTGCGCCACTTCACTCCAGCCTGGCGCCTGGTGACAAAGCAAGACTCTGTCTAAAAAAAAAAAAAAAAAAAAAGACAAGTGTGTCTGACTCATGTTTCAAGTCAGGCCATTCAGTCACTTGAGAGATTCTTCCACTGTTATAACCAAGCGAGTTAGAAGGAAAGTGTCACTCTCTGAGTTCCAAATTAAGAGTCCTTTATTTGCCAGCCACCAAGAGATGGCTACTGCTCACAATTCTCTCGGCCCGAGGATGGGGCTTGATTCCCCTTTATACCTTGATTTAGGTAGGGGAGTGGGAGCCTAGCTGAAGCAGAATTTTACAGAAGCAGAACAAGTAAGTTAGATAGGGAAGCTGGTAACCCAGGGAAAGGAGGTTCCCAGGATTGTTGATTGCTAAGGGTATTTCCATGCAATTACTAAGGGGGTAGCAGGGGAACTTTCCATACAACCAATTACCAAGGAGGGTATCCACAATAGCAGGTAGACTTGCCAAGCAGGATGTGGTTACAGTGGTTACAGGTACTGTTGCTCACTTATGTGCTCAAGAACCACTCATTCAGGAGACATGGCACCATTTCTTGGTAACTGCCCTAGGCGCATTTGACTTTACAAGCTCTTACACCATCTTACTAGAGTGAGTTTCTTGTTGGTTTTGTTGTCTGTCTTTTGGGATACTATTTTTTTTTTTGGTCACGAATTTTTTTTTTAACTCTTTCACTTTTACCATATTTATTTCACTATTTTTCTGTTCCCTTAGATAACTTAGAGGGCAGAAATTATTCCTGTGTTTTTGCCTCATTACCAGCATCTGATTGGCTGACCAACAATTTGTCTCCAAGAAATCAAATCTGGGTTTGTAGAAGACAATTTTTTTTTTTTTTGAGATAGTTTTGCTCTTGTTGTCCAGGCTGAGTGCAATGGCACAATCTTGGCTCACCACAAACTTCACCTCAAGAGATTCAAGATTCAAGAGATTCTCCTGCTTCAGCCTCCTGAGTAGCTAGAATTACAGGCACGCACCACCACACCCAGCTAATTTTTGTATTTTTGGTAGAGACGCAGTTTCTCCATGTTAGTCAGGCTAATCCCGAAGACAATTTTGACATCTCAAGGGGTTACCTTTCAAAATAACAGTACACCAGAAGATTGCTGTCAGCCTCAGGATATCCACTTGCTCCCTTTAGAGGATACATTCCATATCTCGGTTCGTCCTATGGGAGAAAATAAACCAGAAGCTGACATCCACTAGACACTCTAGCTGACATAACCACGACAGATATCTTGGTTTATCCCAGATAATACTGAAATCCAGAACCAGGCAAAAACTAAAGGGTGGCTGATGACACATCACCCCAAACATTTTCCAAAGCAGAACTTTTACGCAAAAATGTTCTGATAAAATCTCTGTGCCCAGAGAAGATAAAAAGAAAAGAGACACAGAGATTTTCTACAATACAGTATCAGGGGCTTATTATTTGCTTTCCTTTCACAGGATATGTTTACAAACAAGTAACAAATCTTATCAAAAGCACCATTTAGGCCAGCCTAGGTGGCTCATGCCTGTAATCTGAGCACCTTGTGGGGCTGAGGTGGGCGGATCATAAGGTCAGGAGTTCAAAACCAGCCTGGCCAACATGGTGAAACGCCATCTCTAATAAAATACAAAAAATTAGTCAGGTGTGGTGGCACCTGTGCTATAGCTGGAACCTGAGCAACGCCATTTTATAAAAGACAAAGCTGTTTTTCAGAAATAAGTTGTAACGGCTGCACCATAACTACCAGCCTTGGCTTCTGTAAATAAGACTGCTAGTTTACTCTGCAGAATGCAAAGAGGTAAAGCTGCTTACCTTCTCTGATCAGTAACTGCCAGAGTTGCTAGCCTTTGCTTACCGGTAATAACCAGAATAAGCAGCCCAAGATAATGCCATCCTGGCTCCTGCAACGTGTAATAAGTAACAGATCAGTGACCCTACCCAGATAATGTATAAACTAATGTTTATCTTGACTTCTGTAAACCACTTAAGTAACAATCGGAATGACAAAAGTCCCCTGGCCCTTGGAATGTCCGGAGCACCCCCCTCACCCACGTCTCGGCCCAGGAGGTGATTTACAGAATCAACTAGCCCTGGAAATGTCTGAAGCCTTTCATCCCCATCTCCGCTCCTCACCCCCACTCCCAAGGTGGTTTTACAGGTATAAAAAGGTCTTGTCACCCTCTTTCTCTGCCACGGGTTGGAGAGACGTGAGTCCTCCGTGGTCACAGGCAATAAACCCTGCAATTTGGCATACTTTTGTCTTGGTGTTGACTTTCTATGCTCGGTCCGGTATAACAACCCACCTGTACTCCCAGCTACTCAGAAGGCTGAGGCAGGGGAATCACTTGAACCTGGGAGGCAAAAGTTGCAGTGAGATGAGATCATGCCACTGCTCTTTAGCTTGGTGACAGTGCAAAACTCCATCTCAAAAAAAAAAAAAAAAGAAAGGGCCGGGCGCCATGGCTCACGCCTGTAATCCCAGCACTTTGGGAGGCCGAGGCCGGTGGATCACAAGGTAAAGAGATCCAGACCATCCTGGTCAACATGGTGAAACCCCGTCTCTACTAAAAATACAAAAAATTAGCTGGGCATGGTGGTGCGTGCCTGTAATCCCAGCTACTCAGGAGGCTGAGGCAGGGGAATTGCCTGAACCCAGGAGGCGGAGGTTGCGGTGAGCCGAGATCGCGCCATTGCACTCCAGCCTGGGTAACAAGAGCGAAACCCCGTCTCAAAAAAAGAAAAGAAAATAGGAACAAGGAACCCCACAGAACAAAACTCTTCCCATTCATAAACCCAATCCCCAAGTCAGGATTCTCCTGAGGAACCTCCCGTGGCCTTTGCACAATGTGGGAGACACAGCACTGCCAGTGCAGAGCTCCGCAGAGAGGGCTGCAGGCCAGGGAACAGCACGGCACAGAAAAAAACCAGGACGCCCTCCTGTCAGCGAAGCCGCCATCATATGGCTGAAGGGGACCGAGGCCAAGCTGGACAAGGAGAATAAATTGTGGGGCTGACTTCGGGAAGGCCTGAGTCCCACCACAGCCGCTTCCCACCAGTTCCAACCAGCCCCTCTCCTACCTCAGGAAGTCGGGCCGGCACTCTCACCATTTCTAGGCTTCCAGGGGGTCCCGGCCTCTTAGCTGTGGATCTCCCAATACCACGACAGGGCCACAAAGCGTGCGCCTTTAGGAGCAGAGCACACAGCGCAGTGAAGAGGAGACCTGGAGCTCCAGCTTCAGGGGGAGACAAAGGAACCACCACACGCAGGAAGCCGCCCTGTCCGCTTCAGCTGCCTGCTTGATTGGACAGTTCCCAGCCCAGCGTTGCTCATTGGATAACGTTTAAAACCCCACCCCCTCAGGCCCTGAGTGACAGAAGATGTGATTAGATACTGGGCTGAATGAAGAGTGACAGCCTAGGCTGCAGTTTTTTCAGGCAGGGGTTCCTCCCTGAGCTGAGCTAGGACCACCCCAGGGGGTATTTGCATTCAACCTTGAGTATAACGTCATATGCATTTGTAAATAATATATCATATGGCTATATACAAATTTTAAAAATATATAATAACAAATGTTTTAAAATGTCAGCCTTTTTTTTTTAAGAGATGGAGTTTTGCTCTTGTTGCCCAGGCTGGAGTGCAATGGCGCGATCACCGCTCACTGCAACCTCCGCCTCCCAGGTTCGAGCAATTCTCCTGCCTCAGCCCTCTGAGTAGCTGGGATTATAGGCATGCGCCACCACACCTGGCTAATTTTTGTATTTTTTTTTGTAGAGACGGGGTTTCACCATGTTGGTCAGGCTGGTCTCAAACTTCTGATCTCATGATCCGCCCTCCTCGGTCTCCCAAAATGCTGGGGTTAGAGGCGTGAGCCACCAGGCCTGGCACAATGTCAGCTTTTTTACGTTTTTCGCTTATGGTCCTTTGAGTAGCCTGAGATTTTAAGAATGAGGTAATCATCTGAAATAAAATGTGAGCCCCATGTGAATTTTGAATTTTCGTTTTTTTTTTGTTTTTGCTTTTGTTTTGAGACGGAGTTTCACTCGTTACCCAGGCTGGAGTGCAATAGCGCGATCTCGGCTCACTGCAACCTCCGCCTCCTGGGTTCAGGCAATTCTCCTACCTCAGCCTCCTGAGTAGCTGGGATTACAGGCGCGCGCCACCATGCCCAGCTAATTTTTTGTATTTTGAGTAGAGACGGGGTTTCACCATGTTTACCAGGATGGTCTCGATCTCTTGACCTCGTGATCCACCCACCTCGGCCTCCCAAAGTGCTGGGATTACAGGTTTGAGGCACCGCGCCCGGCCTAATTTTGAATTTTCTAGTAGCCAAACTTTAAAAAGAAACAAGTGGTCAGGCGCAGTGGCTCAGGCCTGTAATCCCAGCATTTTGGGAGGCCAAGGCTTAGAGATCACAAGGTCAGGAGTTTGAGACCAGCCTGATTAACCTGGTAAAACCCCATCTCTACTAAGAATATAAAAATTAGCCGGACGTGGTAGGGTGCGCGTGTAATCCCAGTTACTTAGGAGGCTGAGGCAAGAGATTGATTCTCTTGAACCTGGGAGGCGGAGGTTGCAATGAGCCGAGATCACACCACTGCACTCCAGCCTAGAAAGTGCAAGGTTACTTCTCAAAAAATAAAAATAAAAAAAGATTGTAAAACATGTATGTAGTAGGCCGGGCCCGGTGGCTCAAGCCTGTAATCCCAGCACTTTGGGAGGCTGAGGCAGGTGGATCACGAGGTCAAGAGATCGAGACCATCCTGGTCAACATGGTGAAACCCCGTCTCTACTCAAAATACAAAAAATTAGCTGGGCATGGTGGCGTGTGCCTGTAATCCCAGCTACTTGGGAGGCTGAGGCAGGAGAATTGCCTGAACCCAGGAGGCGGAGGTTGCAGTGAGCCGAGATCGCGCTATTGCACTCCAGCCTGGGTAACAAGAGCGAAACTCCATCTCAAAACAAACAAACAAACAAAAAACCATGTGTGTTAATCTAGAGTGGTCAAAAATGACAAATTTGGTTGATTTATTTATAAAGTTTTTTTTTTGTGTGTTAGGTCTCTAAGTCCAGGCCTGTCCACTTCAGCCTTGGTGACCCACACATACACCTCTGGAAAGTCCCCAGGAGCCAGAAAGTCTGAAGTAACCACGACTAACCAGGTGGCCACAGCAAGAAGTAAAACAACTTGTTCCTGCTTCAACTAATGGCTCTGGAAACCTGTACCCATTGTTCCTGTTCAGCCTTGCAAAAATTTCCCCAGGACATTGTTTCTGATGACCCCCCACCCCTGTAACTATGTAATCTACAGCACCCCGACTCTGACTGCAGCCAATACTCCCTACCCTTATGATCATGCCTAATTGGAATAAATGACCCTACCTTGTGATCATGCATCCCATGATGCCCTAAGATAGATTACTGACCGACCCCCACCCTTGATGTGCATCCGTGACATCCTCGATTTCCCCAATATAGATTACCACCTTTAGCTGACCATTACTCTAACCTATATAACCAATCCCCTCTGCTACCCACTTTGCCTAAGTCCTTTCTTGGACTTGGCCCGCTTGCACCCAAGCATGAAATAAATGCCCCTGTTGCCCACACAAAGCCTGTCTGGTGGTCTCTTTACATGAGTGACATGCGTGACAGTTTATTTGTTTTGAGACAAAGTTTTACACTTGTTACCCAGGATAGAGTGCAATGGTGTAACCTTGGATCACAACAACCTTCTCCTCTTGGGTTCAAGCGATTCTCCTGCCTTAGTCTCCTGAGTAGCTGGGATTACTGGCGCCTACCACCATGTCTGGCTAATTTTTTTTGTATTTTTAGTAGAGATGGGCTTTCACCATGTTGGCCGGGTTGGTCTCGAACTCCTGACCTCAGGTGATCCAGCTGCCTCAGACTCACCTCCCAAAGTAATGGGATTACTTACAGGCTTATTTATAAAGTTTTATTAGAATTAGCTTTGTATAGATAATACACTAATACAAAAGTAATAGTTGATTTTCTCTGAAACAAAAATTTTATGTATTATAAAAAATACAAAAATTAACCAGGTATAGTTGTGCATGCCTGTAATCTCAGCTACTCTGGAGGCTGAGGCAGGAGAATAGTTTGAACTCAGGAGGCTAAGGTTGTACTGACCCAAGATCATGCCAATGCACTCCAGCCTGGGCGACAGAGTAAGACTCCATCTTGAAAAAAAAAAAGCGTCATGATACCCAGGTAGTTTTATTTTCTTTTTTTTGAAACAGGGTTTTGCCATGTTGTCCAGTCTGGTCTCAAACCCCTGAATTAAAGTGTTCAGCCCCTCTTGACTTCCCAAAGTGTCCTGAGATTAAATTTTTTTAATTAAGCAATTGTCCTCTGTTGTCTTGGCCAGAATGTAATGTCATAATCATTGCTCAGGCCACACTCAAAATTTCTTAGCTGTCAGCCTCCTTTGTAACTGCGACTACAGGTACACACCACCACAGTGGCTAGTTTTAGATTCTTTTTTGTAGAGATGGTGTCCCATTATGTTGCCCAGGCAGGTCTCAAACTCCTGTCCTCAAGTGATTCTCCCACCTTTGCCTCCCAAATGTTTGGTAGAAAGTCCCGCCATCTTTCCCCCAGGTTTCTTGCCCCCACCCTCCCCCCAGGCTTCCTGCTGCCCTGAGAAAAGCCCGCCAAGCCTGCTCTGTTCTGCCCAGCAACAACAAGCAGCCAATCATCGCAGCAGGAAAGCCCGCCAAGCCTCGGCCTATCCTGAACTGACACGTAACCCTCTGAGCCTCCTCAGCAGTCTGCCCAGAGACGGACAGCCTATCCTAAGCTCCCACGACACTCCACCAGCCCTGTGTCCACGCCCCGTCCACCCCCCTATAAAACCCTCCTACCCCAGCTGCGCAGTCGCAGCCAGCCCCGATCTCCTTCCTTTTCTGGCCTGCCCGCTGGTCCCAATAAACCTGAACTCTGCTTCCAACTCTCGAGCTGTTATTTGGGGTCGGGTACCGGGCAGGGGTCTACAAGGGGGTCGCACACCAAAAACACCTGAATTACAGGCATGAGCCACAGTACCTGGCCTCTATATGATGTTTAACGATTTTTATCCTGTTTTCCTATATTGTAACATGTTCCAAATTAAAAAGTGCTTTTATGGCAGATGTGGCAGATTCACCAAATACGGAAGGCACAGTTACATATAAATTTTGGGTTAAACAGCAAATAACTTTTTAGTATAGCTATGCAATATTTACATATTGGTGTATGTGTAAACAATTACTGAAATATATTTATACAAATGACAATTTACAATTTACCTGAAAATCAAATTGAACCAGGTTTATTATAGGTTCTTTTCTTTTGTTTTTTAGATGTCTTTTTTGAGATGCCAGAGTATTGCTCTGTCTCAGGCAGTGGCACGATCTTCGCTCACTGCAACCTCGGTTTCCTGGGTTCAAACAATTCTCTTGCCTCCGCCTGAGTAGCTGGGAATACAGACTCGAGCCACCAGGCCTGGCTAATTTTTTGTATTTCTAGGAGAGACGGGGTTTCACTTTGTTAGCCAGGATGGTCTTGATCTCATGACCTCGTGATCCACTTGCATTGGCCTCCCAGTGTGCTGGAATTATAGGTGTGAGCTACTGCGCCCTGCAGAATGGACTATTTTAAAAGAAGCAGCATTAGCTATATTTGTGTTTTTGTGCTTTGTATTAGCTTTTTTTTTTTTTTTTTTTTTTTCTTGAGATGGAGTCTTGGGGGCAGGGACTCAAAAAAAAAGAGACAGAGTCTTATTCTGTTTCCCAGGCTGGACTGCAATGACATGATTTCAGCTCACTGTTACTTCCACCCCCTGAGTTCAAGTGATTCTCCTGCCTCAGCCTCCTGAGTAGCTGGGATTACAGGCATGCACCACCATGCGAAGCTAATTTTTGTAATTTTAGTAGAGACAGTTTCACCATGTTGGCCATGCTGGTCTGCCATTTCTCACCTTAGGTGATCCACTCACCTCTGCCTTCCAAAGTGCTGGTACCCCCAAATCACCAAGACAATAAAAAAGTCAACCTGGCAACTGTTAGGTAAGCCTGTCTCCCATTTTATTTCTAAATAAGATAGCTGCAAATATAAAAAACTACATAATGCCAGGTGCGGTGGCTCACACCTGTAATTCCAGCACGTCGTGAGGCCGAAGTGGGCGGATCACCTGAGGTCAGGAGTTCGAGACCAGCCTGGCCAACATGGTGAAACCCTCTCTAAAAAAAAAATTTTTAATAATAAATAAATAAAATGAAAATGGAATGTTTATACACTGCTAGTGGGAGTGTAAATTAGTTCAACCACTGTGAAAAGCAGTGTGACGATTCCTCACGGAACTGAAACAGAATTACTATTTGACCCAGCAGACTTCAAACTGGGTATATACCCAATGAAATATAAATTATTCTACCATAAAGGCACATGCACATGCATGTTTATTACAGCACTGTTTGCAATAATAAAGATATCGGCTGGGCATGGTGGCTCCCACCTGCAATCTCAGCACTTTTGGAGGTCGAGGTGGGGACATCACGAGGTCAAGAAATTGAACCATCCTCGCCAACATGGTGAAATCCCATCTCTACTAAAAATACAAAACTTAGCCGGCAGGCCTGTAGTCCCAGCTACTCGGGAGGCTGAGGCAGGAGAATTGCTTGAACCCAGGAGGCGGAGGCTGCGGTGAGCCGAGATCGCGCCATTGCACGCCAGCCTGGGTAACAAGAGCGAAACTCCGTCTCAAAAAAAAAAAAAAAAAAAGACTGTTGTTGCCTTGCCTTCCCCGACCCCTCTCCCTCCCTCCTCTCCCTTCCCCCCACTTGCTGCCACACTCCTTAGGAACTGGGTGACCTAGAACGAGGTTCACATCCCATCTTTTAAAAAGCAAAACTTAGTCTCTATTTTGTTTTTGTTTCATTGCTTTTAGCTTTAAAGAGTAACAGCTGCGAGCCGGGCTCGCTCTTGCTAATTAGACTTCAGATCCCCCTCCGGCCTCAGTGCTCATTCCGGGGAAGACACCTGCTGAGATGTCTTTTCCCCCTCCCCCAACCAAACCACTCTAGTCCTGCCTGTGCTTTCCCGGTTTGATGCAGGCATGCTTTTTCTCTATGTATTTTTTCGTTCGACAACAAACAGCATCAGCTGGGGTTCCCGAAGGTCAGAAAATGGCTATGGATTAATCTATTAGAATAGTTGCCGAGAGAAACAAAAACGACGTAAAATAACAGGGAACCTATAAATAAAGAAGCCATTAACTGTCTACTTGGAGTTGTTAAACGACTTAACATATGAAAAAATCGGAAATGAGGCTCTGGGAAAGGAGCCGGGATTGGCGGCTGCCTGGGTGTAAACAAATCCTCCAAGATTTAGCTTCGGAGGAAGCCGTCGGCAGAGCGGGTGGAGGAGGCGAGGAGGTGTGGCCAGTGCACGCGGAGTGCAATCCAAGTCAGTGATGGCCGCCTAGTTGGGAGCAGCAAGAGCCTGCCCGTTGTGGCAGGCACATGGAACCCAATCCCTATTTGTCCGCTGCGGCTGGGAGGGGAGCGCCGGACTCACCAGAGGAAGGAGCACTAGGGTAAAGGTCGGAGAGGAAATAATTGGTGAAATACTTGCAGAAGATGCTGGGATGCAGATTTAATTCCAGATGAACAGTGGTGCTTCTGATTCCCTTAGTCTGTTTCCCACCCACGATCTCCTCTCTCCAAAAGTAACTCAGTAAAATAAAAATTTAAAAATAAATAAAAATAAGATTAAGTTATTTGCAGCAACATAGATGATGCTGGAGACCATTATTCTTAAAAGCTAAAGCGGGCCGGGCGCGGGGTCTCACGCCTCTAATCCCAGCACTTTGGGAGGCCCAGGCGGGTGGATCACGAGGTCAAGAGATCGAGACCATCCTGGTCAATATGGTGAAACCCCGTCTCTACTAAAAATACAAAAAATTAGCTGGGCATGGTGGTGCGTGCCTGTAATCCCAGCTACTCGGGAGGCTGAGGCAGGAGAATTGCCTGAACCCAGGAGGCAGAGATTGCGGTTAGCCGAGCCTGCGCCATTGCACTCCAGTCTTGGTAACAAGAGCAAAATTCCGTCTCAAAAAAAAAAAAAAAAAAAATCACTTTACTAATATACTGCATGTATTGTAGGTCGTATCCTAGAAAGAGATGCAATTAGATTAAAAAGCATAGGTAAGAATTCTATTTTTTTCTTCCCATAAGGTATCCAGATCACACACTTTAATTCACGCCACACACTCTCTAATTACTACTGCATACTATATAAAAGTGTATCTGCTAATTATCGAATTTTTTTTTCTCTAATGAAGCTTTTCAGGTAATAGATGCTGAGTCTGGAGAAAAGAACAATGGTTCCCATAAACAGGGTTGAAAACAAAATATAATACACTTGGTTCAATTTGAATTTCAGATAAATTATAAATTGTTATTTGTATAAGTATATTCCAATAATTACACATATGATACACAAATATGCAAATATCGCATAGCCGTACTAAAAAGTTTTTGTTTATTCCAAATTTAAATGTAACTGGTTTTTTTGTTTTTTTTTTGTATTTTTATTTGGTGAATCAGCCAAACCCACCACAAAAAAAACATTGTATAATTTGGAGCAACATGTTACAAACATGGAAAAATGCAATAAAAAATAAAACAAAATAAAAAATGATAGAGCACTTAATCTGTAGGCTGCTTTAAGCAGCATAGACATTTTAATTATATTCATTCTTCAAATCCAGGAGCATAGAATGTTCTTTGTTTTTATTTTTTATTTTTTTGAGACGGAGTTTCGCTCTTGTTACCCAGGCTGGAGTGCAATGGCGCAATCTTGGCTCACCGCAACCTCCGCGTCCTGGGGTCAGGCAATTCTCCTGCCTCAGCCTCCTGAGTAGCTGGAATTATAGGCACGCGACACCATGCCCAGCCAATTTTTTGTGTTTTTAGTAGAGACGGGTTTTCACCATGTTGACCAGGATGGTCTTGATCTGTTGACCTTGTGATCCACCCGCCTCGGCCTCCCAAAGTGCTGGGATTACAGGCTTGAGCCACTGCGCCAGGCCTTTTTTTTAAATACCAGACTGAAGTATGTTGTATCTTTTAGAGGTTTTATGTAATCCCCAAGGTAGCACAAAGAATATATTTGTGTAGATACACAAAAACAAAATAAGAAAGAAGTAAAAGTATATCAACATAGAAATAAAAAATACACAAGTTGGGGAAGAGGGGAGGGGAGGGGAGCTGGGGAGGGATAGCCTGGGGAGAAATGCCAAATGTGGGTGAAGGGGAGGAAGGCAGCAAAACACACTGCCATGTGTGTATACCTATGCAAATGTCTTGCATGTTCTGCACATGTACCCCAAAACCTAAAATGCAATTAAAAAAAAAAAAAAGAAATATACAAAAGCAATTTATATCAGAAAAAAAAATACACAAGTTAAGAGAGAAAATGAGAGACAAAGATGCAAGAATCAAGTAAAACAATTAAGTCTTTCTGTTTCAGAGTTTACATATATCTCGGCTCAAAGCAACTTCTGCCTCCCAGGTTCAAGGGATTCTTCTGCCTCAGCCTTCTGAGTAGCTGGGACTACAGGCGTGCACCACCATGCCCAGCTAATTTTTGTATTTTGAGCAAAAACAGGGTTTCACCATGCTGGCCAGGATGTTCTCAATCTTTTAACCTCATGATCCATCCACCTCAGCCTCCTATAGTGTTGGGATTATAGGCATGAGTCACTGTGCCCGGCCAAAAAAAGAAGTCTTAACATATTTTTTAAAACTGAAAATTTACATGAATTACATTCCATGATTAAAATGAAATGAGTGTAAAATAATAGACAAAAACTGAAAAATTTACAACTTTATAGAAATTAAACACACTCCAACATGCTCCTGTTCAAAGGTTGACATAATTAATATTTTGAAGACGTCCATACTGCTCAATGTAATCTAGAAATTTAATGCAATTTTTTGTGAGAATTTCTCATTGCATTTTGGATGAAATAGAAACAGCAACCCCCTAAGTATAGGAAATCCCCAAAGACGATAAAGTACCCAAAGTCTTCTAGAAAAAAAAAAGGAAGCTTGTTAAAGTCAGTACAGTCCCTGATTTCAAAATAAATTACAAAGTTACAGAATAAAAACAAATTGGTATAGGTATAATGGTCAAAAAAATAGAATGCGAGTCATATATAAACTTTCACATATATGGTCATATGAAGAGTTCGTGGCATACCCATCATTACTGCAGCATTGTTACTGAAAGCAACAATGTGATTTTCTGTCACCAAATTATTCAGTAGATATAATTTAAAATATAAAAATAGTGGAATATCACCCAGGACTTAAAAAGCCAAAAATATTCTAACCACCATAAAGCTAAAGCTTGAAGACATTACACAAAACAAAATGACCAGCCACAAAAAGAGACTGTACGAGGTATGTGAGGCAGTTACACTCTTAGAAAAAGAAAGCAGAGTGGTGTTTGCAAAGTGCCAGAGAATCGGAAGAATTAGTTCCTGTTGAATGTATACTGAGATTGAGCTTCGCAAGATAAAAACATTCTAGGGATATGTGGCACAACACTTTCATACAGTTAATATGTCTCAACAGCTTATTTTA